GGCACTTCCTCCTTGGGCGTCGTAGGTTCACATGGGTCACAAACAACAATCCATTGACCTACTACAAGACGCAGGACACGGTGAGCATCACGATCGGACGATGGATGTACTTCATCGACCAATTTGACTTCACACCGAAACATGTCCCCTGCCTCTCCAATTGCGCAGCAGATGCACTCTCGCGAAGACCTATCTTCGCTCGATGACACATCATGCCTTCGCATTCGACGAGGAGCTTCAGCGACACTTCATCCGGGCATATCAGTCTGATCCGGACTTCGGCACGCTCTATGCACAACTATCTTCGGATCACCCGCCGGCCAGCTATTACCGCATTGCCGACGGGTACTTGCTCCTCCACTCGAGAGGCAAGGACTTACTATGTGTCCCACGCGACCGTCGTCTTCGGACTCGCCTCCTCGGCGAGTATCATGATTCACGACTCGCCCGCCATTTTGGAGTCAACCGCACTATTGCACGGCTTCGACAACGATTCTGATGGCCCGACCTCATTACCGATGACACTCGGTATTGCGACTCTTGCGAAGGTTGCTGACGCAGCAAGCCCCGCAACCGCAATCCCTATGGCGAGTTACACCCGATGCCTATCCCACGGGGACCCGATCTCTCCATTGCCATGGACGTCACCGGTCCGTTTCCTCGCGACCGGATCGGGCACGGCGGCATCCTCACGGTTGTGGACCGATTGAGTAAGTACGCACGTTTTCTCCCTTGCAACTACTACTCCACAGCTCCCGAGCTGGCACGCTTCCTGCACACTGGTTGGATTTGTGGCCACGGTATACCAGAAGACATTGTCAGCGACCGCGACACTCGTTTCATGTCGGCGTTTTTGACTGCTCTCATGCAGGAGTCCGGCACAACAATGAAACCAAGTTCGGCTCGACATCCTTGCACAGACGGGCAGACGGAACGGGCACATCAAACCGCTCAATTGACGCTTCGTACGCTCATCCGTCCGGACCAGAAAGATTGGGTTGACTGCCTCCCCGACATCGAGTTCGCCTACAACACTTCGGTGCATCCGGCGATCGGCGTGACTCCATTCGAGTTGCACCACGGTGGACGGAAAGGCCGGATCTTCGCCGACCTTCTCCTCCCTCGACCAGCCGACATTGACGCTGCGAACACTTCGGTGCATCCGGCGATTGGCGTGACTCCATTCGAGTTGCACCACGGTGGACGGAAAGGCCGGATCTTCGCCGACCTTCTCCTCCCTCGACCAGCCGATATTGACGCTGCCTGCTCTCCCGCTTCCGTCCGGAAGTACAGGGAATTGCTGACTCAAGCCTGCGCAAATATGCAAAAGGCTCCAGTCCGCATGCAGCAGCAAGCCAACAAGCGTTGCGTACCATGTCCCATCCGCGCCGGTGATCTGGTTTGGGTCTCCGCGGAAGAGTTTGCACTGGAACAGGATGTTTCACGAAAACTGCTTCCCAAGTGGTTTGGACCTTGGTCTGTGACAGCAGTCGCGGCGATGAGCCCGATGGCCCTTCATTTGTGATCAACATTCCAGAGCATCTGACGGTCCATTCGGTCTTCCACGCCTCGAAGCTGGCAACATACACGCCACCCAAGAGCGACGACTTTCCGGACCGACGATCGCAGGACCCTTCTATGGATGCCCATCAGGAAGTTGACCGCATCATCTCCGACTGCAAGTACGGCACTAAGTCGCGGCAGTACAAAGTCACATTCGAAGCATGCGATCGCGACGACACTCGGTGGATTTCAGGCGCAGATTTGAAAGCATCCGCACCGCTGATCTACGCGCATTATGAAAAGCGGAGGTTAGCTCAGGAAGCTTCACGACCAGCCCCTCCCACCCGGACTGTGGTCCCTCCCTCAGACAGACAGCTTCGCCCTCGCAGGTAAGCTCGGTTCTTCAAGGAGGGGGGGGGGTGGCATACTGCGTAGCCACACGGGCCCTGCAAGGCCCGTCCTAGACATTCAGCCTAAAAGCCTAAAACTTAGGGCTTACAGGCCCCATTCGTTTCAGCCTGGATGCTGAAAAACGAGGGCCTGCAGGCCCTACCCCGTTTCAGCCTATTTCTGGTTCTTTTCAGACCCACCGGAGATAGGGTGCAGCGCCCGGCAAAGCACCGCGCGTCCTGTGGTGTCCAGCGCGCCCCCGAC